TGAACCCCTCGCAGATAATGGCTGCCTCCATGCTGGTCGAACTTTGCTTCATCCCCCAGTTTTTGTAGCATGTATGCGGTTGAGCTGCATCACCCTTTCCTTCGGCCCGTGCACAGGTAGTACAATATTTGTTCTTCACACCAAGGAAAATCACTTTTCTGGTTCTGAAACCCACGATTGCCGCCTGAAAAAAATAAGAACAAATATGTTGAAATAGTGAATAAAGAAGAATTGCTCATGGACGAAATGTAAAATTTGTTTTTAAAATATTCTAAAAAGTACTCTGTTACATTGATTTTTAATGGTTTGGTTAATTAAAATAATATGTTATGGAATGCTAATTTCATGAACTTTAGAAACACATATAAAAACACATTTTTGTATTTTTTTTCTTTTAAGTACAATATCAATAACAATGCCAGTTCAACTCGGCACGGTGTTCGCGATAGCGTGTTAAAACGCGTAATAATATTTTTTATTAATGTAATTTTGTTTGGCTTTTACTAGCAGCCTGTGAAACTTCGTGACTTCTACATTCGTGATATATATTTCAATTAATTTACAATTTACTATTGCTCTGTACAACCACAAAATCAACGTAATTGATTTTATTATTTACATTTTATACAAATAAGAGCATAACAATATTTTACTTTAATTCACTAAAACATAACAAACTGTAACGATAACCTTATTTTCGTGTAGATTTAAACAAATAAATATTCTATCATGGACATCTGTTATGATGTAAACTAATGTAGGCCTAAACTTGTAAAAGTTCAGGCAATTGACAAAATAATTCAGCAGAAACTCTGAAATTTTAAAAGCCTACGAACGAATGGCTTTCACGGGATAACATCCAAACCCGCACAAAGTACATTTACAGGAGAAGAGCCTTAAACTGATAATCAATATGCCTATACAAATAAAATATTTAGGGGTCGATTTGCTGCACACAAAAATCCAACAAATTATTTAAGAATACAAAAATAATAAATAGCACTATAGCTGTAGGATAAAAGTGAAAGGTTAGATAAATAGCAATATATTGGATTACTTACAACGCCTGACAAGGAGGAGTAGTTTGTCCTGTACGATCTTTTGCACCAAGCCCCGTCAGCAACCACGGTGATAAGCGGCGTGCCGTCCTTATCAAGGTCGCCGTCCTCTCGCGCCAGCCGTGCCTCCTCTGCAGCCGCTGCTTCCATCTCCAACAACGCCGTTGCTGTCCAACCCGCTGACACCTTCTCTTCATACTTTTTAAACGTTTTTTGTGACATTGGTGGTATGTCGAGGGCACTTAAAAACTCCTCTACCTGAGCATGACCACCGCCAGTTGTAACCGTCCCACAAACAGCACCAGTGTTCACATCCATCAGTTTTTCATTATTTAATTCAGTCCACAAAGTACTTTGGTAAGAGCACATTTTACATTTGACACCGAATCCACTTTTGATGCCGACCCTCTTCTCCGAAACTATTTCAAAATCAGCGAATTTGCAGCCAAATGGGCTGTGATTGTCCAACTGTTTTATTTGTTTAAAAAGGTCCCCAATATTCACTATTCTTCTACCACTAATTCTTGTCCCACACTCTTCATCATCCACACAGCTTACTTGTTGAAGCATACAATTAGTCAGATTTCCCCCTTCAAGCTGCTGATCTGTAGAATTTCCATCTTCTGCTTGCCTTCTAAAACAAATACAAATTGAGTTAACATTTTATTTCTTTAGTGATTTGTTCAAGTAAATACAAAATTCCATCACACACCCTACATCTATCAAATAAACCATACAGCCACATACTAAGTTTCATCCAAGTATATGTTCGATAGTACAAGCAATAATACAATTTGAATTATTCTCCACAAGAAAACATTTTATGAATGCCCATTGATGAATGCAATCATTGACTATATAACACTATGCAATTAATGAATGCCCATCTCCACTTGTCTTGTTTGATTTGTTCAATTTAGCAATTAATTTCATTCATGATATCCCCATGACATTTGAGGTCCGTTTATCAGACCGCGTTGTACCAGGGTGATAATTTAGAGATGCAAACATGTAGGCCTAAACAAAACAATTACAGTTTGTAGTTAGAACTATTCTTTATTATAACAAATGTATGTTTTTTTAATGAATTGAATTAGGAAATGAATTTTTCAATTATCAATTATCAATTATGAATTACCAGTACTGTAATTATTTTATAGCGTACACAATTATTTGGGATGCGGAATTATGTAAAATGTTTTGTTCAAGTCATGTTCAGTTTGGCAGTAGGCTAAACGTTTTCTAAGTTTTTATTAAATTTATATTCATTGCTGTACAAATGTCCTGAATCCCGGATAAATGGAACGACGTAAGATCGTGGAATTTGTACATGTACCGTTCCATCCGCGTTGGGAAACAAAAGAGTCAAGGGTAGGGGTGAAAGTGGATGTCTATTGTTTGGCGTACGGTGACAGTGAAGCGACTTTACAGCCGTGAGGTTCTTGACCTAGACCTAGTCGAGCCTAGAGCTATAATGGAAAAGCGCGCGAAAAAACACCTACGCCCTCATCTCAGTCACACTGACATGCGTTGATACAACAATGTTGTGTGTACATTACATGACGGCTGGAGAGGACATGGTCCTAAAACAGCTTCAGTCCAGTGGTGTTTGGCTCACTAGAGTGAAACTTCACTAAACTAACTAACTTAATTAATTGTTCATAATTTGACTTCAGAATTGATTGAATTATATAAATCAAAATATAAGGTCAAAAATAGTTTATACATAACATTTTCAAATTATTAAAAGTTTATACTGAAGCTTAAGGTATTTCATGTATAAATTAAATTTAACGACGGCAAGTGCTTAAGTTATATGAATGATTATGTTTGACGATTGGCGATAAAAAGGATTTTAAAATGGGGTTGAAACCCAGAAACTAGTCATCCACAGCATCCCATAAGGGCTATAAATAATTCACAAATTACAGCTTGCCTTCTCTTTTCATTGTACTGAACTAGTGCTGGGTTTAATCTTCTTTTCTTGCGATGAGCTGATAAGGTGAGTCTCGCTTTTCCCATTTGTACACAATAAAACACTTTGTTGAACAGTAAAACAACTAGCCTATTTATTTAAGGTGATTACTACGGCAAAACACTAGAAAAATATTTATTTACAACACTAGACTTATAAAACATTTATAATATCATTAAAAACTACTACGCTTTTAATGCAACTATAATTATAACAGGCAAAATATTAGCACGTCTCTTCACAGTAGTCGGTCACGCACGAATGAATAATGTTGTGAACATTCAAAATTATATTCTTAGCGCCACCAATGGAGCCTATTTGACGTCATGACAGTAAGCGACGGTGGTGCTATCCTTCAGCCCTTCACGGCACTACTACGACACTATTTATTTCGAGAGCGTTCTCCGCCTACTACTACTTGATGAGGTGAATTCATAAAACTGAATTTAAACATGTTTGGAATAAATTATCATCCATTTTTTTTACTATAGAGACCTTCCCCATGAAATTATCTTTATAATGGTATAGTTTTCAAAAAAATTTACAGTCGCAGGAAAATATAAACCCCTACCGCGTTTACGAAAAATATCGGAGTTTCTTATGGGTACATTGATCTTAAATAAAAATTATAGACCGATAATATTGACAGATAATAAAAAAATCAACCTTCCACTACCGATAGGACACTAAGTGCTCGGTTTCTATAGTGAAAGTTATTTAGATTCGTGACAGGTACTTTTTAAAACGCAGTTTTAAGCAATTCCCCCATGTTATAAGTGGTGGCAGCGGCGTAAGGCCTGCGGCTGACTCCTGCGCCCTCTTAAACGGCGAAAACTAGAGGTCAATATCGCACCCCTAATCAAAATGGCAGTCATTTTGAAATATCCCTTATTAACTTTTTAACAGGTTATAGCAGTAAAACTAAACTCAGCATACCTTTATTTAAAAAAATAATTCACCTTTTGGTCAGTATTAAAATATGCAATTTTTTAAGTAACCTGGAGGTGTCCAGACTTGCTTGCTCATCCTAAATAATTAAATTGGCTGCCATTTTGATTGGGGGGCAGTATTGACCTCTGGTTTGCGCCATTCAATTTCTCTTGATAAACCCTTTAAAATGAGGGGTCACATAATAGGTGTTTACATTTGAAAATTTGGGGCTGCCCGCAAAATACCCCATTTTGGGGGATGGGGCAAATTTGTAACTTTGATGAAAAAGTGCAATTCCTTATGTTGTAAATATGTGTTGAGTTTGGTTTTCCTACTGCAACGCGTTAAAAAGTTAACAAGGGGGTTCCAGACTTTTGCCTAACCCTGTATGTTGGGGGGGGGGGGGTATACCGGGGACCGGGGGTAGTTTTAAAAATAGTGTTTCAAAATGTTCTTGCAAGTTTTCAAAATAAATCTTTTACATTGGAAAACTAAATATTTTCTTCGGTTCCTCATATGTTAGCAAGGTAACATATGAAAAAAAAACTCAATAATACTACTTAATAATATATAGTAATAATTATAGTTTACTCAATAATGTTAAAACTATTTCCAATGAACAAAGGAAAAACGTAGTCATGTCAGTTAAGTACCTTTAGAATGTAAGAAGTAGTTATTATAATCAATTATTATACTCAATTCCGTTATTTTTGTAAAAAAACTCTTGATTAATTGAATCGAGGTGGACTTATTCCTAGTGCAGTCATAAAATAGTTGATAATAAGCAACTTTCTCAAAAAACAACACAAAAATCAGACTGAAATTGGCTAGGTAGCTGACTCGCTTTAGTCCTCCCCTAGCAATCAAAAGGTCACAAGCAACATCAACAAGGTCACAAGTACTTATCTTGATAAGAGTCGGTTAGCTTTTTGATATTTCGAAACAGGACGTTTCATTTGAGTTGCATTTAAAACCACTCTGAATATGATCAAAGAAATATTAACTAATTGATAGGGATCATACGACTGAAACCAACATTTACATTAAAATAGTGTTTATTCAATCCTGTTGATACAAAATGAGCAAAGCTAAATACAAAAATATACCTATACTATATACATAAGAAGCAGTTCCGTGAACACAGGTACAAGTGACACAATAACTAGCCAAACATCCACTTGGAACTTGAGGAACTTAGGAAACGAATATAAGAAAATGGATTAGGGGAATTCGAAAACGAATACTATATAAAGATAAATAATCTAAAAAGGGTCATCGTCAAGTCACAGAATACTTCTGAATCAAAACAAGTTTATCTCACTCGAATTCCGTCAGGCAATATTGTAGTTTTCCAAAGAGGAAATCCACAAAATTTGCTTTACCAAAGAGGAATTTTTCTCAACGTCACAGTAGAGGCATTGATTATAGAAGTTAGTGGTAGTAGGGAGAGTGGTACGCAGGGGCTGCATGAGGATGTACTGCGTGTCCTGTCTTGTGTACAACTGCGTTGAAACCGTTGTGGTCATCGGCTGTGTACGAGACTGTACGGATGGTGCCGTCGGGTTCGACCAGACTGTACTCTCCCTTGACCACATCACCGTCTCTTTCTTCCCATTGGTTCTTGACGTCTCCCGTATGGAAGTCCTTTACACCATAGTTGTAGGAGTATTTCGGATGAGCCTGCAAATAAGATAATGATTAAGTTTACTGTAGGATATATCCTCTGATATTATATTTAGAGGTAGCACTGTAGTTTAGAGTTTGGCTTCTCAAAATGTTTAATCTCAAAATTCTTCTTTAATTTTGTTTTAGCGATTTCCCATTAGAAATACGTTAAGTAGTAATGCTCTATGAGAATTGTTTTTTCCACCACTTTATATTTGACTGTGTTACTGTGTAGGCCTAAGCTACTGTTAAAACCTATAGCAAACATGATTGCACAATTGTTGGGCAAACAAAGATTCATTTCACAACATTAAAACTGACAGTTGGTCAGATGAAATATTATTATAAAACATCATTATAACTTGCCATAGAGGAGAACACTGATAGCAAGACTCTCAAGGGAATCATCAAACAAGACTTGCTATCGAGAGTCTTGTTATTGAGGTTCTACTGTATTTGGCATTTTCCCCACAAGACTTACATAGTAGTCGATAGCTGGCTGGATATGTTTTACGTAGGGTAGAGGTGCGGCGTAGACTGGAGCTAAGGGGTGAGCGTACCCTCCTAAATACCCTCCTTGGGCTACCACGGCTAGCACCAGCACACACAGGATCTGTGAACATTTTTGATATCTATAAATTTTAACTGTCCCACCTTCACATCTTAAGACACTAGGTTATAGCCTGATCTAATGCAGATTTCAGGCAAGGCCTAGAGTGTTGTGGTATCACCATATTGAGAAAAGCCATTGGTGATCGGTGGGGTTTGAACCCAGGATCTCGGGGACCGAAGTGCCACGCTCTACAACTTGCTCCCTAGTGATAAATATTGCAGGGCTGAGAAAGAATGTGCTCACCAAGAATGGTGACCCATAAAAATAATACGGGAAATAAAAAAATTAACAAGGTTGTAAAAGGTGTTAGACAGCTAAAAACGTCCGAATAACTGTGGTTAGGCCTCATCAAAAAAACTAGAGGTCGATAAGTGGTCGAAAACTCGACAAAAAAAACTTATAGGGTGCAAACTTCTCTAATTTCACCCCAGCTGTAAATAAAACATGTGATTGGAATGTCTTCCATTTGTTTTGATTTTCTGTTTGTATTCCGTCACCACTATGGCAACCCATAAGGCCCATGTTAATTACTTTAAATTTTATATTCATTTTTGTGCTTTTTTTGAGCCTATTTTAATTTATAAAGGGATTCTGCACATCTACATTAAAATATATTTCTAACAGTGTGCTTAGATTGTTTTTGCTATAAACTAATCAACTCTACAAAAAGTAATAATAAATCTTTCTAATTTTTGTATCGTCATTTTTTTTGTAATGCAAAAAATAAACTCAAACACATATTCATAATCGTAGTTTTATGAAAACAATTTTATATTTTAATACAATTCTATAGTTTGACATAAAGTAAGTCAAATCACTGACCAACATTTTCTCCAACTATCTTCAAACAAGACAGTTTCAAACGACATACCGAAATCACGCGTTTTCTATTTGATCTCAATTAATCCGGTTTTGAGGAAAAGCGACACGAGACCTGCAATCTCGCATTATTTTCACTAGTTGCGACGATCCGTAATGCAGTCCACTCACGGCTAAGTGTTTAGATTTTATGTCCAGCTTTCTCTAAACTTTCGCAGAACTGGAAGGTGGACACGGTGTCACAAAACCATCCTAGACAATGACCTTGAGAAAGTGGCATCATCTGGAGTACCTACACGCGGTACTTCGAAGAATCATCCTACTAAAACTGTAGTCATCGATTATAACAGCAGGACTGTACGGAAGCGTCAACTATGAGTTTTGTTTTGGATTTGCAAATCCATAATATTTCGATTACGTATATGTTTGATATATTTATTACTAGCTGTAACCCGCGGGCTTTGCCCCGTTTAACTTCTTAATTTTCAAGATTATCTCGTTCGCATGGCTCAATCACGTCCTGGTTGAAGTTTGTTCGCTACGCTCACTCACCTTTAGGTTAGAGCTCGTTCGCTACGCTCACTCACCTTTAGGTTGGAGCTCGTTCGCTGCGCTCACTTGCCTTCAGGTTAGCTCGTTCGCTACGCTAACTCGCCTCCAGGTTGAAGTTCGTTCGCTACGCTCACTCACCTTTTGGTTGCAAATTAGCTGTTGTCATAAATGTAAAAGAAATAATAGTGCTGCACCCTGTTGGTAATTTTTGTAACTTTAATGCTATTGGACATCACAGAACAGAACCAACTTGTTTAATTGAAACAGCTGTTAAGATTCAATAATTTCATTTCTCATAAGGTTAACATAGGAAACTCCAGAGCCACTGGGGCGGAGCCCGAAAGGATTTTTGAAATAAGAATATGCCTATATGTTAATCGGGAATGTGAGCTATCATCATGCCAAATTTCAGCCCAATCCGACCAGTATTTTTCGCGTTCACTTGTCACAAACATACATCCATACATCCATACATCCATCCATCCAAACTTTCTCATTTATAATATTAGTAGGATTTTAAGCCTACAGTTCAAAACTCAATAACTTAGGATGATAGATTTTAATCGACTAACAGCTGTATATCAATGTTAAGTCGAGTCAGAATGAGAAGTTATTTTCTGTAGTATTAACAATCAAGAGGTGTGCTAATCAAGTACAGTTTCACAATTTTTATAGGACATATTTTGTACAAACCTTAAGACACTACATACTTTACACTTTATTTATATTCTTTAGGTTACATGTATTTCATCTGCAAATTTTATTTATAGAAAACATTTTCCTGAATATTAATGTCCGGATAAGAAAATTAAAAACAACAATTTCTTCTTTGTAAATGGAACCTAATAACAATAGTTGCAGGAAATCAAAATTACAATGAACACGTCAAATATAAAATAAAATTAAATTTTACATTTAAAAAAATGATACTACGCATACTTTACAACATGGCAAATAATGTTTTTTTGTTAATTGCTGTTTCCTAATTTTATACATATTCCCCTTGAATATGGTTTTCCCATAACCCATTATGAGCTTATGTACTGACTTCAGAGAATTTTACATTAAAACAGTTTTGATCGTTTTATATTAAAATTTGTAAATTGTCATGGCTGCGAATATGGATTAAGTATGGATTAAAAGACTTTTCCGTGAATTTGCGGTTACCAAATACAAGACAGAGCTGGCGAATCACTTTACGAAAACATGCAAACCTTCTATTTTTCTATTAAGTAAACCACATGTCACAACTTCCTCAACTTTCCAATATTTTTTCCAAAACATAGACAGCGTTTCCCGCTTTACGCAAAAGTCCGGCTGTGTTTACCAAACGGAAGGATTCGGACCTCGCACGCACCTGCTTGGGCCAAGTTGCATCACTGTGTTTACACGGAATAACAATCAAGTGACCAGTGGCTTCCGCCACAATCAGCCATTTTGTCTCCGTACCCGCGTCGGCGGGAATTTTAAACAGTTATGTCACAGTTGCTCTACTGGCCTACTGTTGGAGGTTGCGCGAAAACTATACATAAAGTCATATATCACCGGTCTTTAGTACAAATGGGTCGCTGATTATGTAAACGGTCAGCAAGGCCATTGCTTTCAAGATGGCTGTTGAGTTTTGTATTTAGGTTCTTTGAACTTTTAAGAAATTTGTATAAGTTTACAGCACCATTTTAATGAATGTTCTTTCAGATCAGATTTAAATCTCTTTGCTCATGACTGTCATGTGTTCGTTGTTTCAAACGAGCACTTTTATCATCGTACTATACTAACCATACACTGTATTTAATTTAACAAAATTTAATTGAATGGTTTGACTTAAATATCGTGTTATCAAGAGTGTAATTCTTTGTGTGATTTAAGATCTTTTAAGTATTACAAACTCAACCGCATGCTGATGGTTTTAATCGTTGTATTTGTATTATCCCCCCTAGGTAAAGATCGAATGTTTGCTTCAGTTCGTGTGAGGAGTTTTTTTTTTACGAAACTATAAGAATGTGCAAAGAAATATTAATTTAAGCTACATTTAGTAAATACAGTATGTCACCAAAATAATTACAGGTTTGTAATATTTTACTGATTTATGTTAGTATAATATTGCCAAATAACCATTAATTTGATCTTTTTCCTAAATTAAAATAAGAGTTTTTTTTTTTTGCTGTTGTTTCTAAAATACATAACCATTTCCTTGGTATTGTCGAGAACAAAACGTTATGATTTAAGTTTTAAAGTAAGCCTTAGGTTGTGTTCAATTTAAGTTAGTTACCAAACTAAAAAAACACCTACTAATCTTACTTACTAAATAATCTTGTATAATACCACTCATTTTATCTATACAACTAAGACAAAATATACTGAAATTCGTGTTTATGCATTTATGTAAATAATATTTGTTACACGACATCTTCTTTAAAATAAAGTTATGATATTTTTGCGAACAGTCTATACTTGCTAAACACATCTTTTTCTTTATTTTAGTCTCCTAAATTTTTCCAAAAATGTTTTAAACCAAATAAAAATTAAATATGTGCTTTTTCAAATCATTCTTGATGGAAATATTTCGAACTGCCATACTATTGGCTGGATAATCTGTACTCAAGCTGAACAAATAGTATTGCAAATGAGAGATATACTATAGGGAAACACTGTTGCCAATATCTATGTTTATTGATATTCATTGATGTCGCCTGTAGACGGTGAGATGCAAAATGAACTCTGTATCCTAATTGCCTATCAGAGTCAAGAAGGCGTTGTGCTCGGTACTGCTGCAGTCTTTTATTGGTTAGTTACTACAGTTCCGAAAGGCATAAAGCAATATAAGCACAAAAATGAATTTTGAAATTTTAAAAGATTTATAACATGGGCCTTATTGGTTGCCATGCTGGTTACAAAATAACAACGCAATTTAAACAGAGAATGAAAACAAATGGAAGAATTGCAATCAAATTTTTTTTATTGACATCGTGGGGTGAAAATAGAGAGGTAACAGTATTACCATACATATTTTTTTACGACCACTAGTATGGATTAAACCACGACCCGGTGTCCCACTCTACCTAATGTATACAGTATATAGCTGTATAGCAGCTGTGTATCAGCATATAGCTGCTAAGAATAGAATATGATACAATTTTTAGGGTAGTTTCCTTAAGAGAGTATACTCTTAATTTAATAACCTTGTCCGAAAATTCTTACGTTAAACGTGATTGATACAATTAAGGATTCGCAGCTCATGTCGAATACAACAATTAACTAATTTTATATTAAATGCATTTATATTTTTTTAATATTTTTACGCATTCCCCCAGAATTCTCGCTGCGGCATCTAAAACCATTCCTCAATTTGTAAAGAAAAAAATACTGAGTAATCAAAATATATTTTTACCATTCCTCTACATTTTATAAAAGCAAGAAATCAAACATGTTATTTAAAATTTTTGGCATCGGTACATCATTTTAAAATATATGTTTTTAAGATTTAGTAATCTCAATTATTTTCCTTTACAGGTAGGCTACAGGTACTAAACAAAAAATTGAAAAATAAATATAAAAGGTCAAGAATGTCTAATTTCTATGCGATTTTGTAAATGTTATTCGTAATAGTTATATCTATCCAAACAACATTAACGTTGTTTACTGACTCCCCCTAATTTGCGTCAACAATTTGGAGTTAAGGTTTCGGAAATATCCATTTTGGGTTTCCCTGAAGCCAAAACAGTGGTTTCGAAGTGATGACTATGTGGGGAAGAATGTACCAGTTTGCTGATACAGTTTAATTTTAATTTAGTCAAACCCAATAGGAAAAAAATATTGTTGATATTAAAACAATTTTTATGGTAAATAATTTATGATTGGTAATCAATATCATTCGTAAGCATTACAATAATTATTTCTAATCTAGTAATAATACGGTTCTATTGATAATTCACTAATGAACCAAACACATGAGTAAATTCAACCTTAAGCTAGAAACATAACATAGCATACACATTTTAGCATAAACACATTAGATTGCCTATGTATTTATTTTAATTGTTTAAAATCTTGTTGAAAAGAGATTTTTGAGTATTTATCAATAAAAAAATAAACGCACACAACCATTCGTAAAGCCTTTTTTCTTGATTTGGGGGAAATCATAATTAGCCTGATTCAGTGCACAATCTTGTATGTGGGTCATTAAATTACGGACGATTAGAAAATTTAGTAGAACATCAGATTCAACTAAAAGTTTTACCTTATATTTACTTTCGAAAATTCATCAACTAATTTTAATACTTGAAGCGATAATATATATATGAGACATGTTCATTGTTTTGTTCGGTTGTAATCTATATTTTTGGAATATCTGAATTTCTGCCAAACACTCAGTGATTTCATATCAAAATGATAAAATCAATTAAATCTTTGGAAGTCGCAAAAAAACTTAGGCCCGGTTTCCCCAACTCATTTAAACTTAGTTTTAAGTTAAACGGCGATTTAAACTTAGTTTAACTTTGATTTGTGTTTCCCCAAATTTAAACTAGGTATTAATCTAAGTTCAAACTAAACCACCTCTCGACTTGGTTTAACTACCGGGGATAAAATAAACTGAGTTCAAATTAGTAAATCACAACAGTAACATAACCTCAAATCAAAACAAAACGTAGGGGTTAAAACAAAAAAAATTAAAGCAACTACAAATTCATTTGGACGAAAATATGCTTGGTTTAGGGCTAGCTTATAAGTTAAGTTTTATTTACATTGTAATTTATTGTTTTTATTAAGTTCTTTTTTTACATTTGATTTTATTTCAAGTTAGGCTACTTTGATTGCAGTACTTGCCCCTTAACTCAAGCGGAAGAGTTAATATACATTTTAGAAGAAGTAGAAGATAAAGATTATGACACTTTAGTACCTAGAACAAGAGAGCCTACTTAAATAAGGGATAGAATTTACTATTTCAATAAATGGAATGAATCTGAATTTGGCAACAACTTATAATAACTTGATAACATAACCCTAAACAGTGACGTTATTCTAGCTGCATTCGCATTTTGCTGTCTGCTCTACTGAGTTGTAGCGTAGCGTTGTGGTGGTTGTAGGAAACACTAGCCCAAAGCCCACCGAAGATTCCTTACAAACACACATTCAGGATTGCCAACCGCTTGAATTGCCGTTTATCTAAAACGAAGCCAGTAAAATGTTGGAGAAACCGAACACACATTTTAAACGGAGTTTAAAAATAAACTAGTTTATTATAAACGTAGTTTACACCATTTTGGGGAAACCGGGCCTTAATGTGTTTTGTAATACAACTCACATTTAACACTGTTATAACCCTCAATGTATGTGTAAATGCATGTATTTTAATAAAACAGTGACATCCTAATTAATTATCAACCTCTATTAATACTTTTATTTATAACATTTATCTGTATGGTTCAGAAATTTTAAAAAATCATCATGATTACTCACATTTAAACGATTTACCATGAGGAAAATAGTTATTTTACTTTATTAGTACTAAATATTCTAAAAAATAAAAATCTCAAAAATATTTTAAATTAATATATTTTTACATCCTTTACCACATACTTAATTTTTAAAAACTCTGCAAAATGTCTGCGAACCCTGAATTTAAAAAATAGGCCTGCAACTAACTTAAGTCAAGAAGTTTTTTTAACTCTTTAGTACCAAATAAAAAGTTACCTGAGGTAGGAAAGCCATGATCACTTAGACTAGTCAACGGTCACTGTTCGTTGTAAGTCCGAGCATCTCTTATACAGCTGTAGTAGTGGAGGGGGTGGAGAGGGGCGTGGCGTCTCTCAAGGTCATTGATAACGCACACTCACTGCACGCAGCGCACTGCGCACCGCAAACCACACGTTACTGTGACGTAACGCATTGTCTGTGTGCGCTACGCATGCGCATTCACCTGCGCTGTCGGTCAGATTGTGATTGTAATCAGTTCAAGGTCATTTATTTTGTTATGCTTATTTGAATTCAGCTTTAAATGGTTTTTGGTTTCCAGCATTGAATATTTACCCTATAGGGTATATATTCAATGTTTCCAGTGATTCAATTTTTGGAATTAGTGGAGTTTGAGATAATGAATTGGAAGGGTTGAAATGCTTTCGTTAAACACTGATTAGAAGTTGTCTATGATAAGGCAGCATAGTATGTATCGTAAGTAGAGGATAAAATTACTCTTTTCGACAAGAGTCACCCGGGGCAAAGCCAAGCGTCAAAAAGAAACTTGGAAAAATAAAGTTCACTACACGGGTATTTTCAACCCTCGCTTATTATCCTTGAATTTAACAAGAGCTCGTTTCAAAAAGAGTCACTTTTACGCTTAAGTGATCAAATAAAAAATACTTCTATGAATCCATTCCTAAAATCGAACTATTTTACGTGAACCTTGCAACCTTGACCTATTCGCAGCATACAGTACCAGCCTCGCTAATAATCAGAATATTCTTACTCAATAAGATATATTTTTACGAAATTGACATCTATAGGTTTTATTGTCAGGGAACTGTTGCATTCCACATACAAATTATTTTATCACCACATTAATTTAAAGCTCAGTTCATTTTTGGAATGCATGAATAATTAATAATGAGAAACAAAATGCGTCTGGGTCCACACTCAATCCTTCTTAAGATAAAATATTGCATCTGGCTGGCTACACTCCTCGGCTACCTTAAAAAAAGGTTTGTGGCTTAGACGCCTTATATTTCTAAAAAATACAATGACTTAAGGTCATTGGATGAATATTGTATGTTAAAATAACGCAATTAAACATATTAGATTTTCAATACTATGGCGATAAAAACATTACATGGAAAATTAAAAAAAAAAAACTGTCTAGTTGGAGGATTCTTAAAGACATCGTAATTACACATTTTCTTCCTTGTATGTAAGTAATCCAATCCCCAAATGTTCCAAACCGTTTAAAGATTAGTAACTATCCTGTTTATTTATTTAGTACCTAAATGCCAATGTAACAACACTTACAGCATAGCATGTTCCATAAGACTCCATAAGATAAAAATCAAAGTAACGGTATTCTGGACGCAATAAATGTTATTCAATACAAACATATTTTACTCTAGATTATACTACAGCCAGTACAGGATGCTGCAAATTTTAACGCCTACCAGGATATTCTGTAGAATAGAAAACAGAGCGTGCGTTATAGTATATTTTATAATGAAAGAACCCGGATCTTGAAACTCAAAATGGTCATAATGTATAAAACATATGAATCCCACGAAGAAGTACTCCAAGTCTGGATTTATTGTTGAAAGTCGATTGACGTGACAATAATACTTCAACCTGTCTCCTTGAGTATAAATCTATCACAACTAAAGGTATATTATGGGAGGGAAGAAGCTGGTCTAGTGGTAGAGCGCGGGGCTTCTGTCTCAGAGGTCCCGGGTTCGAATCCCACCAATCATCAATATATTTTATCTTTGTGATAATGCCGCAACACTGTAGGTATAGCCTGAAGTAATGTATAAAAACAGGTTCAAACCAGAAGACCTAGCATACACGGTTTATTCTGGGAATTGACATAAATAACAAATATATATTTACATAGAGACTATATTTAGTTTAGCTGTGTTTCTGGCTAATTTAGTGCGGTTATGCCATTTGACGTTTACTATGTATTTCTTATCATTTCACCCTCATTTTAAACTATTCTATCCCAATGAAACAATATATTTTTAGAAAATTATCTTTAATGTGGAATATGAAAAAATAACAAACTAATAATGCATAATTAATTCATAAAAACGTGTTTATTGATATAATAGTGTTTGATTGTTTGATGTAATTAATGATCTGTGGTGATGCGGTACAAATCATAATACAGCGAAACAGAACATAAAATACAGATTTTAATTTTAATATAGATTTTAATTGAAAAAAATGTTTCAATAACTTATAGTTTATACCACGAGAAACAAAATAATTTAAATGGTTTATGAAATGTTCATGTTTTAATTCTGATTTGGTTGATTTATTCCAATATTATCATTGACATCAACCAGTCATTAAATTAATGTTAGTTTCACCAGTGAACGTTCCATTATTGTATAATCTAGATCTTAATTGCCATTCCACTTTCCACAGTCTTAAAAATTTTAAAATTTTTTTATTGGATCGAGCTATAATTTAGCGTGGGTAAAAGTGATATCTAGGGAAAGTTTGATATTGTTGAGGAAGGTTGGGGAACTGTTTAGCAACCAGAAATCCCACAGATGGGAGTCCTGGACTAAAATGTTGGGAATGGTCAAACCCTTAAATTGAAACTCCAATCGTTGCACACGCCTAATATTATAATATACAAGGGAATCATATTTTCAATGAAGAATCGTACCCCAGGAAAATACTTGATAGAAATTCGTAACAAACTGTACTCAAAACTAAGGTCGTGTCGTAGAGAATAGAATGTTTATATTTTTTTATAGTCTACGGCTCGGTCGAAAACAGACCCGGATAAAACGCATTTTATAGTTAAACACTGAGAGCTCTGTACTAAATTGATATTATTACACACTACTATACACTATACGACTATACACATAAAAAAGACTACCCATCACCATTGAAACATATGAAGTAACATATATGACGGTTAAATTTGCTTCTAAGAATTGGTCTTTTGTATACGAATTTATATTAGGTACAACCAGACAGCATTCTTTTAAGCCATTAATATCAATACATTGGCTTGCAATACATTGATACAGTGAAATATTACATGCAATGTTTTAGAATTATCTGTTCCTTCTGGTTGAAAAAATATCAACCTATGGAAATAACACCCCTACTTCTCTAGGCTTAGCAAACCTGCACACTCCATAATTTATAACTTAAAATAAAACCTATTTTCTTTAGAAGTCTTAATATTTCTGTAGCCAATAAATACCTCAGGTGATTAGGCCTGCAGGTTTGCTACGATGGGGGTACAGCCTACATACGAGTTGTGTCGTGTTAAACATTGCATAGGCCTTGACTATATTTAGTTACTTTCAAGTTTCTGTAATATTGCGTGTAGTAAAGTAACTAAAAACAACTCAAATATAATTTTGTTCATTTGTGTAGCCTTGGCCTAAAACACGTGAAATTCGACTCCTTGATATGGTTCTACAATTAGCAATAACATCAACGTGTCCAGGTATTTTTATTAATCTTCTTGTCTCATAGTACAAGGGAACAGAATGACTTCGTGAAGAGGGCTGATCTACCTTTATTCAACCTCTGTTGTCTATGATTATCAGTTGTCAAATAGTATCACGTCTAGTATAAATGGCTGGTAGAGACCTTAGTGTGCGGAACCTCTAACCTATAAGGTTTGGGTTGAAATCTTGCCAATAATCAATTATATCAGCAGTGTGATTATGCCGAACGATAGTTTGAAACCCACATTCAGCTTTAGTTCTACATAGAAATGAAAAATATGTTACCAGGCGAGTATATACTTTTCCTGCATTGTTGAGATTCCTGCGCTAAATCTGTGTGATAATCATTTAGACAGTTAAAAAGAAGGGTTGTTGAAGTTTGTAACACTGTTACACTCTGACCTAACTATAGACGATAACACTGTTACACTCTGACCTAACTCTGAGGACACACATTCACGATCGCGTGCCGTGTTACCTCAGTAGTGTTCCGCTGGCCAGCCTACTTTCTACGACACATCAGTAAAACATTGTGAATGATGCCAAGAGTTATGCAAGCTATGTTTACAAAGTTCTGTCCAAAATATAATTACTTCCGGTTTATGTAATGGTCAAATTAGTTAGTTAAACAAACGTACTCGACGGACTTAATTTCTATATAACATTAGAACCATTTTTAATTTATGTTTTCCTAAGATATTGCTAAATGTTGGGTTTGAAGATTTCAATTCTATTTCAAACTAGTTCGAATTATTTATAATATTATTTAGCATCGAAAAGCTTACAGTACAGATTACTTGGTGTTCACCACAAGTATCGGAGAAGCATGGAAATAACAGAGCTAGAGGAACAACTGGAGGTAGCACTGAATGAGATGATTGTGAGGCATTGGCCGCCATTACGAGAATATAAAGTACATACATTGTACATTTTAACTAGGGGATCGTACATACAAAAATCCATGAACAAATTAGCTGATTCCCTAGTTGGTAGCAACCTAACAAAATTACTGCGTCTCGATTATGTAGCAGCGTTGCCAGTTGTATTTCTAGTTCAGTGAAGTCAAACACTTTTTGAAAAGTAAATTTTGTCTCTAGACTAAAATAAATTATATTTATATGACTCCAAAACATAAGGGATGGTATTTCCAGCGAACAAAGAATAAATAATGTAACAGTTTTGTTACTGATCATGTGGTGATGTGGAGTTAGTGTATCAGATAAGATCAGCTGTTTCTTAAGTCTGAATCAGTTATTAAAAGTCCAATGACCAAGGTTACCTGGGTGCATTTTCGAACCAAAATTTAGCTACAGACTTTCCCCCGGCAATTTCTAGACTCCAGATTCTTGGCAAACTATAACCAATGAAAATTCCCCTTTATCTTCTAGACCAAGGTCTTTCTTCATCAATATTTCATCAGTTCTCCAGGTCATTCCCGGTATTCCCGCAATCACTCCCGTTTCCATTTCCTACTCCCTCAACTCCACTTCCTCTCCATAGTCCACGGTTCGCCTCCTCTCTTGCCTCACGACTCCAGCCCCAAGGTCCTCGGAGGCCGCTGG